ATTTTATAATTTTTAACTGTATAGTTAATGATTTAAAAATTGTTAAAGTTGAAATTTATAATAAAAATATAGTAAGTAGACTCAAACTTTTGAAGCAACTGTATAATATAATTTATCATAAATCAAGTAGTTTAGAAGGTCTAAAAGATTCAAGTAATCCAAATAATCTATTTTTTTTTAAATCCTCTATTAGGCTAGGTATATATGCTTTATTAAACATATATATACTTTATATTAGAAAATGTATCGTTAAAGCTAAGTCTCTACTTATCTCACTCATCTTTATTTTAATAAACTATTAAAACTCTAAGTACAACTTTGAGAGTTATTTATCATTCCATTAGCAGTTCAGGTAAAGATTCTTTTAACTGTTAACTTCATTACCTGCAAGTTATTACTACAAATTTAATCTAAGTAATCCATTTTTACAAATATATATTATATATAATTATAATTCATTCAAGAGTAGGATAAGTTAATATGATAACTTCACTTAACTTTTGTGAAGTTTATAAAAATAATTTTACTTTTATTTTGAAAGATTGAATATCTTTTTTTGATTTTAGAACCAAAAAAATTGTTTTAATTTCTTTAATTTATTAATAAACTTAGATTTTAAGTAAATCATATTTCTTGTAAAACACTATGATATTGATTAAAGGAATTTTTGATAAATCTATTCTGAATATTTTTTTATTAATATAAATCACTTTTAAATTATTTTTTAAAAAATTGTTTTTTTAAAAGCAATTCTATTTGAATATATCAATCAAACATAAATTTGATCATAGTATCTATGAGTAATGATAGGTCTCTAAAGTATTTAGTATATAAAATTTTACAGATCACTTATGTCTTTTTTTGAAAAACAAAATTCATAGCTCTTCACTTTAATAAAGACAAAAGTCAGAAAACTTTTAAATCAATGATTTGGATAATGAAAAACAATTGTGAGTAATTTTTTATAATTATTAATTTAAAAATTTTAATTTTTTTCTAATAAGAAACATTTGACTTTTGTTACTACTACCCTCTTTAAGATCCTATCTTTATCTATGAGATAAATAAAAATTATATTAAGAAACATATCTTGAGTTCCTTTAAGAAAATATAGGAATTTGATAATAGATTCTTGAAATACTATAGGTTTGAGCAGAGCAGGATAACTGATAAAATAATGTCACTTCTTGGCAAAATTGATATACTGTACTTTTGAAGAATTGATAGTTATAGATTATACTTATAATTTTATGTAACCAAAATATATTACTGATCAATAAAAAATATATTCATCAATTGGACTTTAACTATATATGGCTTTTGTCGTTATATAAATTATATAAATTAAAAATAGACATCCTATATATAGTGAGGGACAGTTAATTATCACGCCAAAAAGTACACTTTCGCACTTGATTTAGAATAAAGTCCTTCATGGATACTTACACTGGTGCAGTAAAACCAGAGATTAAAATAGATGAACTTACTTCAGAAAGAGTAAAATTTATACTCACGAACACAGATCTAAGGTGATCCAACGCTCTTAGTTCGGTTAACACAAATTAATTTATACTCAATCTTTAACAAATCGCAGCATGGCCAATGCGCTTAGGCGGATAATGATATCCGAAGTTGCTACAATTGGTATTGTTTTCACAAGATCTATCGATGTTTTTTGCTTATTTCTTTTTATTAATTATTCTCGAATCATAGCGATTGACATAGTGGAATTCGAATTAAACACTTCTGTCTTGGCTGACGAATTTATTGCACATCGTTTGGGCCTGATACCGTTAGATAGTACCGAGGCTGAGAAGATCAAATATTCTAGAGTTGGTGGACTCTTGGATTTAATTTCATTGATGCGTGAGCTTTTTAAATAAGGAGACTTAAATTATAAACTTCACTTTAAAGGAATGCAGTTGTCAGGGAGCTTGTAAAGAATGTAGCATTGAATTAAACTTACACGTAAAGTGTACAGAAGAGGATATTACTAAAGATGTTACTAGTCGGGATCTCGTTAGCAATGATCCGCGTTTTATACCCATTCAAGATGGTTCGTAGAAATAATATTACATTTTAATATGATCCTATGTTTATACTAACTTTTTTATTCTTCAGGACCAAAAGATCCGGGTATTCTAATAGCCAAGTTACGTAAGGGGCAAGAAATTAAAGTGAAATGTATAGCTAAAAAGGTTCGACTTATTTAATGTCACGTTTTGACCGAACGTGTAACGCGTCAAAGATATTCAGATATTTTATTATCGTTTTTAGGGAGTGGCAAAAGAGCATGCTAAGTGGAGTCCCTGTGCTGCTGTCGCATTTGAATATGACCCATTTAATAAACTCAGGCATACACATTATTGGATCGAGGAGGATGAGAAAAAAGAATGGTAAATGTTGATTCAAGAAAAGATTTCTAAGACTAGTTGTATTTATTTTGTGATTTATCTAGGCCTGCGAGCAAAAATGCGGAGAAGGATTTTCCCCCTGGAGAAGATGAAGGTGAATAATGAATACTTTTTTAAACAGCTTTTATCTTACCAATATATATTCCTCTAATTTTAATGCATTTTATAGTATTTGACTTTACGGCAAAGCCAAATAGGTTTTACTTTGAAGTCGAGGTAGGTGAACATTAAAAATGTTATTCGCAAATTACGCGTGATATCTTATTTTTTAAAATAATATAGACTATAGGTTCAATGAAACCTGAAGACATTGTTATGAATGCTTTTAAGAAACTATTGGAAAAGATTTCTTCAGTCCAAATGGGATTGACTACAAACGATATTAATGCGACAGGCCGAGAACAACAAAGAGAGTACTAATTATTAAGAAATAGAAAGAGATGGTGTTTAGCCTTAACTATTTTTTATTGCTATATCAGCAGTTCTTGTTTGGTGACATTAGAAGGTATTTGAAATCTTTCAATTTCATAGAAATTAAAGATTTATTTACTGAAGGCTTTAATTCAAATAATAATAAAGAATAATATTATTTTGCTTTAATAATTATTATTAATCTCGGATCGGGTAACATTTTTATTTTATTTTATTCGAAAAAAATATTTGTGAATAATAAATATTTTTATTTTTATTTTTAATTAAAATCTATAACAAAAAAATTTTTTTTAAAAAAAAATTGATTTTATTTTTTAAGAATTCTTTAATTTTATATATAATATGAATTAATAATTAATTTCATAATTAAATATACTGTATACATGATAAAAAGATTCTGGCTTATTTTTATTGGATATAATAGAAATCAAATTAATGTTACAATAATATTTTTATATAATAACTATCTTTATATATTATTAATTAAAGATAAAAAAATTTATCAAATTAATTTAAGCTAAATAAAATTAAATCTAAATTAGATATTCTAAATTTGATTTAAAAAATAAAAAATTTTTTTTTGATTTGTAAGTCTATAGCATAGTTATAGTGCTTTCAAATCAAAATCACAAGGTCCAAAGTTCAATATCATATAAGGATCAAGTGAAAAAATAAGCCAAGGTGATATAAAGATCTTATCTATCTCATAATAATTATATAATATTCCATTAAGAAATAAAAGAACCTGTCTACTTATATAAGTAATCAGATATATCTATAAAAAGACAAAACTTAGCTTAATATAATAATAAAGAAATAAAACAAGTTTTAAATAAAACAAAACTAAGTAACATGATATACTTAATACAAAACTAAGCTCCAATTAAATGGTAAAGTTGAATAGTATTTTATTTTAATGCTTAAATAAGATAGGTTTCCATAAAAGGTAAAACTAGATTATATAACAATATAATATTTAAGATACAATATAAACTTCTATAAAAGATTTCTAGTATTAATAGAATAAAAAAAAAGATTCTATATAAGAGATCTCTAATATCAGTAATAATATATATTTAGGATAAGTTTTTAATACATTAGTTTTTCTAATAAAGAATAGCAACAGGTTATCCAATAAATCATATCCTAAAAAGTATAGATTTTAATAAATACAGATTTAAAATAATGAGATTATTTTATCAAATTAAATACATAAGACTCTTCAGATTTCCTAACTTAATTAAAATTAAAAGACAATTCTATACTAGATAATCATATAATTATCTTATTTTTTTTTTTTTTTGCCCTCTGTCAGGCTAATTACGTATACCTTATTAAATATTTGTAAACTGTATATATAAAATGAAATACTAAAGCTAATTCTTTAACTAACTCACTCATCTTGATTGTTTTACCTTTCTAAGTACAACTTCGGGAGTAATTTAT